GTCCAAACTATATTCAATGAAACGGATTAACCGAACTTTTGCTGACAGAATTTACTTATCTGAACGTAAACTTTTATTACGCGATTATAGTACCGTTTATGAAAAAAAAAAGTATAATAAAAGGTAGCCGAATTAAATTTCATCTTTCCACTTCAATTAAGAAGATAGTTATAGGAAAAAATTCAATCATCCTTTTCTGTGGCACAAAAATATGTAGAATGCGCATAATATGTATATCTAAGAATATGCAAAATACTCATAAACTATGGATATAGAATGTAAAATATAGTTTTTATAGTAGACTACGGATTTTTGTCTAATTTCATATTCTTATGAACATAATTGAAATATTTCTACATATCACGTGCATTTTACAGAATTTTTGAATCTCAAATATTTCCAAAATGCACAGATATCCGATGCAAAAATGTAAGATAAAACAAACGTCTGTCTTAATTATATTTTCTCCAACAGTTGACTTCAATCGTACCTTCAAAGACAGGATATCTGCGAAAGGTAAAGCTTTGACGACGAAAGACAATCCAGAAGCATAACCCAGGTAGAGTATCATCAACGAAACGATTCGCCCTTTCTTAAAGTATCTCGTCATAACGTTCTCGTGACGAGAATCGTCAATGACTGACCAATCCTTTACAACCGAATTTACAAGAGTATAAGCGTGCTTCGAATTCCAGCGCATAATCAATAGTTTCGCGAGACTGACGATGGAGGAGAGGTCCATGACAAACGCGTCCATCGTGTCGTCGATGTCGAGACAGTGTCGATAAACTTCCAGAGACAGGCTGCAGATAGTACTGATCTAATTACGGAAAGGATTCCGAGGAAGATCTTGGCCGATTTTTAATGTTCGACGACTTCTTTACTTGGCGAATTAATTAAAAAGGCTTGGGCGAATTAATTAAAAAAAAAAAACTCCTATTTTGTTGTTAATTTAAATTTTAAATATTGTATTTTGAATTAGAGTGATAAACAATGCAGCTATTTTAATTCATGTAACGTAACGGCACTTGCTCTCCGAATCTTAATTTCAATTACCTTTGAATATGTAACATGTGATATGTCTTTGTGCTTGGATGCCTCAACTATTGTAGGGAAATCTGTGCATACTCACGATGTTAAACTATTTTAGAAATTATCGCAGAAATTATTCGACGCGAAGTATCAAGTAAAACAGAAAGTTGTTTCATTTGGTAGTTGAACTGTATTGATTCCAGTTAATCTATAATTGTGTCTTGATTGCTTAGTTTTGAAATAAGTATAATTCATAATGCTGTAACATATAATTGTAACTTAACTTAAATAGAGTAATAAGTATATGACCTATAATATTATCTTTTTGTATTATATTTAGATACTTGCTATTTGTATCTATAAGACAGAATGATTATAAGATATTATTTTGCAATCAAATCTCATTTATCTGCTTCTTATTTGTTCGAACATATTAATATTGAATCTTTATTATCTGACGTATGGTCGAATATTATTTCAATTATACGTATAAAAACACGTATCTCTTATGAATGAATATGTCAATATGTTTGTTAAAATTTAGATTCTACTACAGTTCTACTACCCCTATACAGTGTTACTACTATTCTAGTAATATCTATTGTATGTGTGTTGAAGTCTAAATTCTACTTTAGAGAAGATATAATTCTCTTATAATTCTATTATAAGAGAAATTGGAAAAAATAGACAATGGATCTTTACTATCAGAACTGCTTAGTTATCAGGATTGCACTACTGCTATATCTATATAATGCCCAAGCCTGTTCTCTAATGCGCTTTTTCAAACTTACTTGCGTCATTACTGCGAAAATCCATCGGCCAAAGGAGGATCCATCTCTCGTGGGCCAGATACCAATTACTTTCAACACCGTCTCCTGCACCATAAAATTCCCAACACGCTTGCCGATCGAATCCTTCTCGCGCATTTCTCGAAACCAGACGCCGCTACGATACTTTCCTCTCAATGATACTCCTCTACTTTCTATCTACTTTCTACCTCTAGCCCGACTCGACGAACGATTTATCGTGATACGTACGCGAAGACACGTCACCGCCCACTTACGTGCATACGTTCTTCTCCTCTTTGATCTTTTATTCACGAGTCTCAACAAGCCTGTATTCTCGCGCGAACAAAAATACAGAGACGCGAAACGAAACGTGCACTACAGAGAGTATAACGTTGCCGACTTTCTCATACTTGGACACTATCAACTATTAACGAGCCTGTAAGTGATATCACAGACGTAGTGACACGTTCCTCTCCGGAAAACTGAGGAACATGAAAGGACAACGACAACAGCGGGGAAAATATGTTTCGACATTGCAGAGTCGAGTGTTCAAGTTGCGCCGATGCACATCATCGTCTGAACTCAAAGATGGAAAGACAGTGGAAGACCGTGTTATGGTTTTTCCACAGAAGAACTGATTCTTATTTTGATACCGAGTGTTCAAGTTCTTCGTTATCTTTCAAACGAAACCGAGAACAACGATAACGCGGTAAAACAATTTGATATTGCGAAATTGAACGTTGCAGTCGTAGACTTTGCCTTTGTAAAAACCAGAAGATGGAAGAATGTGCACCGTTCTTCGAGGGATTAAAAGATGAAGTATGGTACATGAAATCACGTTGGAATTGCAGAGTCAAGTGTTCAAGTTGCACCGTAGACACGGTACGTTGGTTTCAAGAGACCAAAAAAAGATGAAAGAACAGGGATAATACGTAATGAGAAACACCATTGACATCGTAGAAATCCAAGTGTTCAAGACGGACAAAACGAATTACGAAATCCCGCGAAGCGTTCCGCGTTGAGCATCGGAGTTCATCGGGCAAAACGTAGATGAAAACAAGAATTCTGATCTCGTAACGGTGTTTCCAGGCAGCACGCGTGCGTATCTAAACGCCAAGGTATTTTTTTTTTAATAAAGTTGCTTCGACAGCTGTTCGAGCCGCTTCTTCTATTCTTTGACGCTCGGGTTTTTTTGAAATTTATGGGAGATATAATGCTGGCAAGGTAATTCATATTAGTTTATTAGGGAAATTCGTAATGTATTTGGTGAATCAAAGTTCTGTTTCATATGAGAAGTACGTGTTCGTTGATTTTTTGGTTTTAGTTTAGACTTCATGATTGAATAGAGGGAAGATTTTAATGCGACATAATAGAAAATTAGAACAACGTTTGGTTCGAAGATGTGAATCGTTTTGAAATAGCTGGTTGACGAAGATTTGTCGAAACCGATGGTGTATAATTACAATGGCAAGCAATGCTTTGAAAATCTTCGAAGACATAAAGAAAAAACCAAATGAAAAAATAACTTGGAAATTCTCATAACACAGTATTAATTGACAATGTACTGAATTTTAAAATTAGTCCTCTGTGAAAGTAGTGTCTTCTTTCTGCATTCTTCCAATAATCGATCGGAATGGCATAAGATCACTTTGACAAGAAAGATTAACATCGATAGTAGTATTAATGCGAAAAATTTTAAATAAAATTTTTAATAAATGTTTAAATAAATTGATGAGCTTACTATACGTGTATGTGTCCAGTTCGAGTATTAAGAGATTAAACGCGGTCGAATGCCAAGGAACCAAGTGGTCATCGAAATCCTGGCAGCTGGCCATAGATATTTGAACCGGTTAGGCGAAGCTATCTTGTGGATAGATGAGCCTTAACCTTGGCACTTTGAATCCAACGAATCGTCCCCTGTTGACGCGTTCCTAAATTCGTTTCGGGGTCAACGACTGGCAGCCAGAGAGGACCACCGAAAGTGGCGATCCGGAGCCGGTTTTATCGACCATCGACCTATATATGGAAACCCTTTATAATTCTGGTGATCCTCTGAAATTCAAAGGAAGCTTCGTGTCTTTTTTATTTCCATTTTTTTTTTTTTAGGACATCGCAAGGAAGAATCGTGATAAATAATTTTAAGATTCCCATCTTCTTCAGAGTTTGTAAAAATATCGATTTTAATTTTATAATATTGTCCGTCTTCATAATTAAATGGATTTTGGATTATTTCAAATATTTGAGAAA